GGAGTGAAGTAAGGGCGATGCTCTGATCGTCGACGTTAAGGACAAAACGTCGTATGCAGCACTCCTCCGGAAGGTTCGCGAGGATCCGGAGTTGAAGCAACTAGGAGAGAACGTGGTGAAAACCAGGCGAACTCAGAAAGGCGAGATCCTCTTTGAGCTGAAGAAGGATCCTGCTATCAAGAGCTCAGCCTTCAAGGAGCTCGTCGAAAAGTCTTTTGGCGAAGGGGCGAGCGTAAGAGCTCTATCCCAGGAGACAGTGGTCGAGTGCAGGGACCTGGACGAGATCACCACAGAAGAGGAGCTAAGAAGTGCGTTGAGAGTGTACTGCGATCTGGGAGATGTCCCGATGTCAATCCGCATGAGGAAGGCGTATGGCGGCATGCAAACGGCGGTTATACGGCTTTCGACAGTTGCAGCGAATAAACTGTTGGAGACGGGCAAGGTCAAGGTTGGCTGGTCATTGTGCTCGCTGAAAGACACTCCTCGGGTTACCAAGCAACTGGAGCGATGTTTCAAGTGCATGGGATTGGGTCACAAGGCGAGGAACTGCAATGGCCCTGACAGATCTGATCTGTGCAGGAAATGCGGAGAGAAAGGCCATATTGCAAGAGGCTGCACGAAGCAATCGAGGTGTATGCTCTACAAAAAAGAGGACGGTAACTATCATACGACGGGAGGCTTTAAATGCCTAGCATACAAAAAGGCGATGGCAGGCCAACAGTAATGGAGGTAACCCAAATAAACCTCAATCATTGTGACACTGCTCAGCAACTGTTGTGGCAGTCGACAACAGAAACAAAGTGCGACGTTGCAATCATTGCGGAACCGTATCGAGTCCCTCCCGATAACGGTAACTGGGTGGTCATCGAAGGAGACTTCAATGCTTGGGCAGTGGAGTGGGGAAGCAGATGTTCCAATGCAAGAGGGCACAGTCTGCTGGAAGCTCTGGCAAAACTGTAAGTTATGCTGGCCAATAAAGGCACCAGCAGCACTTTTCGCAGAGATGGCCGGGAATCCATTATCGACGTTACTTTCTGCAGCCCGTCGCTGATGGCAAACATGGATTGGAGAGTGGGCGAAGGATATATCCATAGCGACCATCAGGCGATACGATATGGCATCGTCCAACGGAATACTGTGGCAGTACGGAGGACGAGAACTTGTGACCGGAAGTGGAAGACGAAGGCTTTCGACAAGGATCTGTGCGTTGAGGCACTTCGTGTGGACTGGAGTCCCGCAGATATAAATGCGGACGAGCTGACAGAAACGTTAGTGAGAGCATGTGACACGACCATGCCGAGGAAACTGGAGCCAAATAACAGACGGCGTCCAGGTTACTGGTGGAACGAGGCACTTAGCACTCTCCGCGCTAGTTGTCTCAGAGCCAGAAGACGTGTTCAGAGAGCAAGAACGGAAGCAGACAGAGAGGAACCAAGAGAAGTGTTTCGAGCGGCCAGGGCCGCTTTTAAACAAGTGATAAAGCAGAGCAAGTCGAACTGTTTTAAAGAGCTGTGTCGAGACGCTGATGCCAACCCCTGGGGCGACGCATACCGAGTCGTGATGGCGAAGATCAGAGGTCCAACGATGCCCGCTGAAATGTGCCCAGAGAAACTGAAAGTCATCGTGGAAGGACTTTTCCCGAAGCACAACCCAACAACCTGGCCACCTACACCGTACGGTGAAGAAGGAGAGGGAGACAACGTCGAAGTCACCAACGAGGAACTCGTAGCAGTGGCGAAAGGATTGAAGGTGAAGAAAGCTCCCGGTCCGAATGGAATCCCCAACGTAGCGTTGAATGCGGCGATCCAGTCAACCCTGGACATGTTCAGGATGGTGCTGCAGAAATGCCTGAACGAGGGTCACTTCCCTGACAGGACGAAGATACAGAAGCTAGTGTTGCTGCCGAAACCAGGAAAACCGCCGGGGGATCCAGCATCGTACAGGCCTATATGCCTGCTGGATACACTCGGAAAACTCTTGGAGAGGATCATCCTAAACAGGCTGACGAAATACACGGAGAGTGAGCACGGATTGTCGGAGAGGCAGTTCGGATTCCGGAAAGGGAGATCGACGGTGGATGCAATTCGGACAGTGGTCGAGAGAGCTGAAAAGGCGTCCAAACAGAAGCGGAAAGGAGATCGATATTGCGCCGTGATAACGATCGACGTCAAGAATGCGTTCAACAGCGCCAGCTGGGAGGCCATCGCCGAAGCACTGCATAGAATGAGGGTTCCTGATTACCTGTGTAGCATTATAAGGAGTTACTTCCAGAACCGGGTTCTAGCCTACGAGACGGACATGGGAGAGAAATCAATCCGGATCACGGCGGGTGTGCCACAAGGCTCCATCCTTGGTCCAACGCTCTGGAACGTGATGTACAACGGCGTGCTAACGCTGAAGTTGCCCAAAGGAGTCGAGATCGTAGGATTTGCGGACGACGTCGTGTTGGCGGTAGTAGGCGAGACGTTAGAAAAGGTAGAAATGCTGGCAATCGAGGCGATCGACACGGTTTCCAACTGGATGCAAGGAGCGAAGCTGCAGATAGCCCACCACAAAACGGAAGTGCTATTGGTCAGTAACTGCAAAGCTGTTCAGCGAGCAGAAATTACCGTCGGGGAGAACGCCATAGCATCAAAGCGCGTGCTGAAGTATCTTGGAGTGATACTCGATGACCGGCTATACTTCAATAGCCACGTCGAATACGCATGTGAGAAGGTGGCGAAGGCCATCAATGCGATAGCTAGAATCATGCCTAACAATTCTGGACCAAGCAGCAGCAAGAGGCGTCTTCTGGCTAGTGTATCGTCGTCGATACTGAGGTATGGAGGTCCAGCCTGGGATGCAGCGCTGAAAACGAAGAAGAACCAAAGAAAATTGAACAGTACGTTCCGCCTCATGGCCATGCGAGTCGTGAGTGCGTACAGAACCATTTCGACGGAAGCAGTATGTGTTATCGCCGGTATGATACCCATCGTCATCACCTTGGCGGAGGACACCGAATGCTATATGCGAAGAGATACCAGAGAAGTACGAAAAATGGTGAGAACGTAGTCGATGGTTAAGTGGCAACAGGAGTGGGACGCAGCGGAGAACGGTAGATGGACACACAGGCTACTACCGATTCTTTCGACCTGGGTGAACAGGAAGCATGGAAAAGTCAACTTCCACTTGACGCAGTTCCTGTCTGGTCATGGCTGCTTCAGGAAGTACCTGCATCGCTTTGGACACACAACGTCACCCCTCTGTCCGGAGTGTGGCAACGTAGACGAAACGCCGGAGCACGTGGTTTTCGACTGCCCAAGAATTGAGGCAGTGCGAGTGGAGGTGCCGGCCCCTAGCGCGAGAAATGTCGTCAGTGAAATGTGCCGGGATGAGAGGACGTGTAGCGTCGTCAGCAGGGCAGTGACGCAAATTTTGTCGGAGCTGCAGCGAAAATGGAGAGATGATCAGCGAGTTAGCAACGCCGGCTAGCTGAGCTAAAGAGAAGTTCTTGAGCACAGCCCCCCCCCCCTCCCGACGAAATACTCTAGGGGAGTTCCGGGGGGATCCGCAGGACAGTGACAGGCCGGGCTTTTGAAGCATTCCTTACTATAAAAAAAAACACACACACACACAATTCGCTTCATGCGCTACTAATCAACTATATATTCAGCCTGATGTTAACACTTTAAATCAACCAATAATCAGCTTCTGTTCTTACTGTTCAGCTTGAATTGTTACTTGGGAGTTTCATTGTGGTACATATCGTGCAAATTAATGAAATTCATAATGAATTTTTCCGGCTAAAATCCATCTGGAAATCTAATGAATACCGAGAGTTTACTTCCCTAAGTGTACTATGGTGGATTAATCATCATTCATGGACCTAGGATTTGTAAGCACTTTGGGTTTGGGTGCTTTAATACACAAATCGGTTGGTGGGAAAAGATGATATGGGGATCGGTATCAGAAACGACGAAGTGACGTTTATATTGTGGATTTCCGCCGGTTTTGTCGAGCTTATTAGGACACCTGACTTCCGGATCCTTGACGTTGGTTTCACTGCTTTTGGTTGAGTTCCGAGGAAAATCTGGAGCTAAATTCTGCCGAATGTAAACAAGAAGGAAAGTAGAAAGCAGGACACGCTAATAATTGTTTACCCAAGTTTACTTTGAATTATTCATCTCTCTATAGAATGATAATTTATATTTCTTCCACCAATAGAATGAAGACTCGACTATTGGTGCGTTTACCTTATAGTGCAAATTGTAGTCAATAGCTATAAGTTTTCGATAATCCTCCGAGCAGGAAAGATGCCTCTCGGAGGCAATGAAATGAAATTATGTATAAATCGAAGTGTACTTTTTTTTGTGAAAAAAGAAAACATTTGTTGATTCATCTTTCCTGTCCGCTGACATTCCATCAATGCCCTCCTGCAAGCCTAATCACAACGTAAAGCCTTTATTTATTCTGGCTGAAACAATGCCTTACCAATTGGGAGCTTCCCGTTGGCCATGGTTAAGACTCACCGGAACAACCTTCTGCCTTACCTGCTATGTTTTTCTGTGGAGGTGAACCAGCCTTATTCTGCTGAACCTCCGCAAAAACTTAGAAGAAACCAGCACTGTTTTAGCGTGAACCGGATAATTTCGGATGAAAAAAAAACTCAATTTACAGTTTGTTCCGTATACATACATTCCGTAGCAAAAGATTCTACATTCTTGAAATGAAAGCGCCAAAGTGCCCTAACCTACCTACACTGGGACGAGTTTACGTATATAAGTTATAGGGGAAATGGCTCTAAGATTGGGCCCATCGCTAAAAGTCTGCTATTTATCAATTTTATCTAGATGAACGCGTCATTGGGACGGTACTAATGGATATTTTTGGTTGCTATTGAAAATTTAGTCGATTGCTGAATTTATGTATGGGTCCAAATTAGAAGCATTTAGGCCGACATTACATCCATTTCCCCTATATGTAAATAAAAAATCACCCCCCCCCCTACTCCACCCGCCAAAGCTACCATCGCTTACACACTAAACACAAATGTCGTAAAATCTACTTACCTCCTATCGACCATCTCGTCGTCCGCCCGCTTATCAACGGTAAAAATTGAGTGTGAGTGCATCAATCAGTCTTAAATAGCAGTTTCTCCTCTTGCACGATTCCTCCCACATCATTCACACCACATGTTCCATCGCTTCCAAATTCGACGACGACGACGAGCTGCTACACTCGGCAAGGGTTTTGCTCTGGATCGCACTCCGGTCCAGATTGGGGATGACCACCATGATGAACAGCGCGCCAAACAGCAGAACGATGCTCATGTTCCAGAACAGCCACCCGACGCCGATGAAAGTAACCAGGGTCGGTACCAACCGGACGCACACGTACAGCGAAGCCCAGCTGATGGCGGTGGCGATTGTCCTCAGTGGAAAGACGTTCTCCTCCTCCAGACTTTCGTCGAGCCACTTCCAAGGAAGTCGCTGGAAGCCGATGGCGTACAGGAAGATGAAGATTCCGGAGCATAGCAAAGGAATGTGGCCGTATTCGTCCGAGTGGCCTCGCATGCCCTGAACGTGGCAATGCCAGCCGAGACCGGCCATCGCTGTGGCCATCAGGAACGAACTCCACAAGAGCAGCTTGTAGTCACCGATTTTGAAATTCAGCAACCGGTAGACCGGGATGCTGATGGTAAAGATTCCGGCCACGTAGATCGCCGTCCATTCCGGACTATACTCCCCGTGGCTAAGGGTGAAGATCCGGGTGAGGTAGAACATCGCCGGGATGGCTCCGGTGAACTGCTGGAACACGATCAGCAAGATGGTGGGATAGACGATACGGGAGTTTTGCAGTTTTCGAAGCGATTCCAGAAGCGGCACGGCCATGTACTTGCACTGCTGCCAGTGGTTCAGGTTATTCTCCATGACCTGGATCGAGAGGGCATCATTGGTGTGGGTTTTCTTCAGGACGGCCCGGGCGTGGTTGACTTGCTGGGTCGCACACAGGTACCGGGCCGATTCCGGCAGGAAGAGGAACCCGATGAATAGGAATATCGGGAAGGCCGAGCTTATCACGCTGGAGAACTCCGTGATGGGGATGAGATCTGTAAGCGGGGGCAGAAATGAAAAAAAAAATATGATTGGGTCGTTAGGAATTGCTGAGCAGAATCAAGTTGCATTCAAACAACTGATGTTATTGCTATTCCGGAGATTCTTTTCATCTTGCGGATTATTTACAGTGGGATGTCGTTCGTTGGGCTATCATCGCCCACCTAGTTTTTGTTGGGCTCCCGCAAGAGCTTCCGTTAGGTGGGCTGTAGCTCACCTAAATCGAAGGCAAACGTCATTTGTTGTTTTTGAAAGTGTAGCTACGATGGTCGATGTAAAGTTCTTCGTTCCCAAACTGAATGGAACGAACTGGTCCACCTGGAAGATCAAGGCGCGGATGTTGCTTACCCGTGATGATCTGTGGACCGTGGTGGAAGAAGATATTCCGGAAGAAAAGACGATTGTGTGGAAGCGTGATGATCGCAAGGCTAAGGCGACATTAGTGTTACTGCTAGAGGACAGTCAACTGTCTCTAGTGAAGAACTGTGAACATGCGCGACAAGTGTACGATACCCTGAAAGCGTATCACGAGAAGACAACGCGTTCGCTCCGTGTCTCACTACTTAAAAAACTTTGTGCTACGAATCTTCCTGAAGTTGGTGATCTCGAGAGGCATCTGTTGGCGATGGATGACCTTTTTGATCGGCTAGACGCAGCAGGCACGAAATTGGAAAAAGATGTAAAAATTTGTATGTTGCTCCGGAGCCTTCCTCCGTCGTTTGATGGTATCGTTACCGCCCTTGACTCCCGGTCGGACGATGACCTAACGATTGATACCGTCAAGTCCAAGCTTTCAGACGAGTACAATCGTCGTCTGGAGCGCGAAAGTTCTTCCAGAAAGGGGGAGAAAGCAATGTGGTCTTCCGAAAACAAGCGCGACAAGGAGAGCAGAACGTGCCACTTTTGCAAGAAGGCCGGCCACTTTAAACGGAACTACCGGAAGTTCCTGGCCGAGAGGAAATCGGATGAAGGACCATCGAGGACCGGTACTGGTGGCAATGCAAAAGCAAAAGCCGCTAATGTAGAGCAGAAGCTCGTCGCGTTCAAGGCTGGTAACGAGAAAACGTCGCTGTGGCTCATCGATAGTGGGGCAAGTGCCCACATGACATCGGATCGTTCCTTTTTCACGTCTCTGCGGGAGTTTGCTGGTGGATGTATCACACTAGCAGATGGAAAGAAGACCCAAATATTGGGTGAAGGCAGTGGCGTCATCTTCGGGATCGATGACGAAGAACTAGATGTGAAGATTTCGATGAGTGAAGTTAAATACGTGCCTGAACTGGCCTCGAGCCTTATTTTAGTGACAAAATTGGCACAGAAGAACATGAGTGTAGTGTTTGATAGTGATGGCTGCCGGGTTGTGGATTCATGTGGCACCGTTGTGGCAACGGGATGTCGCTACGGTGGCGTGTATTACCTGAAGACCAGAGAGTCTGCAGCAAGAGCATCAGGGCAACATCTTCAAAATTGCCAGCATCAATGGCACAGACGCCTTGGCCACCGTGATTGGGCAGCGGTGGAGCGGATTAATAAGGAGCAGCTGGCAACTGGTGTGAAAGTCGCCGACTGCGGTTTAAAGCTCGTGTGTGAATGCTGCATGGAAGGCAAGTTGGCTCGATTGCCTTTCCCACCTGTTACGGAACGCAAATCTAGGCAGATCCTGGACATCGTTCACACAAACCTCTGTGGGCCGATGAGGAATGTAACGCCAAATGGTAACAGGTACGTGATGAATATTATTGATGACTTTAGCAGATTCACTGTGACCTACCTGCTGAAGAGCAAGACGGAAGCTGTAGACTGCATTAAGGAGTACGTGAAGTGGACCGAGACCCAGTTCAACCGCAAGCCCAAGGTGATCCGCTCTGATGGGGGCGGGGAATTCGATAATAACGATCTCCGCCGATTCTACAAGCAGGAGGGAATAAATCCTCAGTTTACAACGCCGTACTGACCGCAGCAAAACGGCATCGCAGAGCGGAAGAACAGGGTTCTTTCGGAAATGGCGACGTGCATGCTGATAGATGCTGGCTTGGAGAAAAAGTTCTGGGGGGAGGTAATTCTCACGTCTACGTACCTCCAAAACAGGTTGCCTTCACGATCGCTTCAGAAGACGCCATTCGAGTTATGGTGGGGAAGAAAACCCGATTTGAGTCATATCCGTATTTTCGGGAGTGAGGCATTTGTACACGTGCCTGATGTTAAGAGGGGAAAGCTAGATAGCAAAGCCCGTAAGCTCAAGTTTGTCGGGTATTGTATGAATCAGAAAGGTTATCGATTTCTTGTGCCCGGAACAGACAACATTGTCGTGAGTCGTGATGCTCGTTTTATTGAGCTTGGCAATGGCTCCTCCTCCGTAGAATTTCCTTTGACAAATGTAGACACGAGTGCACAACAGCCCGAGGAAGAAGAAATCAAGTTGATTCCATTCAAGGAAGATGATTCCGAAGAAGAAGAAGAAGATGAAGGAGCAGTCGGTGGAGAAACAGATTCGGAAGAGTTCTACGATTCGTGGACTGTAGAGAACCAAGAAGTGCGACGATCTGGCAGAGAGAATCAAGGCGTAGCACCTCGCTATCTGCAGGACTTTGAACTAGGTACTGCAGGAGTTGCAGCGTGCGCTGTAGACGAACCGGTTGATTTCAAGCAAGCTGTCAAGATGCGGGAATGGCGTTCGGCGATGGATGAAGAGTTGGAGTCCCATCGGCAGAATGAAACGTGGAAGCTTGTTCCGCTACCCCATGGAAGGAAAACTGTCGGTTCGAAATGGGTTTATAAGATAAAGCGCAACGAAAATAATGAGATCGTCAAATACAAGGCCCGCATTGTAGCACAAGGCCACACCCAACGCTATGGAGAGGACTTTGAGGAAGTCTTCGCACCCGTGGCCCGACAAGCAACTCTGCGAACCTTTTTCGCGATTGCCTCGAAGCGGAAGTTGATCGTTCGTCATCTGGACGTCAAGACGGCGTACCTCTACGGTAGCCTTGAGGAAGAAATTTTTATGCGGCAGCCGCCGGGATACATGAAGCGAGGACAGGAAGACTTAGTGTGCCGTTTAAAACGGAGCATCTATGGTCTTCGGCAGTCCGCTCGATGTTGGTGTAAGAGGCTCCAGGACGTCCTACTGAGAAACGGATTCAAGAGATCTAGCGCGGATCCGGGCCTGTACATTAAGCTGGTAGGAAAAGTCAAAGTGTTCTTCATAGTCTATGTCGACGACATTCTTCTGGCGTCGTCTGCAGAAGGGGAACTGAAGAAATGCATCGAATACCTAAGCGCGGAGTTTGAGCTAACGTCCCTGGGTCAACCACGACATTTTCTGGGGATGGAGATAGTTATGAAGAGAGGCGTCTATCACGTGCGCCTGATGAACTATGTCGACAAGCTGATTGAACGGAACGGAATGTCTGAAGCCAAGGAAGCAAAAACACCTATGGATGTTGGATATACGAAAACGAAAGATACAAGCGCACCGTTGAAGGATCCTACCGTGTACCGTAGTCTCGTTGGTGGGCTGCTGTACTTAGCAGTCATAGCCAGGCCGGATATTGCTGCAGCTGCGGCCATCCTTGGTCGAAAATTTGCAGAGCCAACAGAGAACGATTGGACCGCAGCCAAACGGGTCCTGCGGTTCTTGAAAGGGACGAAGGAGTGGTACCTAAAGTTAGGTGGAGAACCCAATCAAGAGTTGGTTGGCTATTCTGATGCCGACTGGGCTGGAGACCTGGCCACCAGGAAGTCAACAACCGGATTTGTGTTTGCATACTGTGGTGGCGTATTTTTCTTGGACCAGCCGTCGTCAATCGAGTGTCACGTTATCATCAATGGAGGCCGAATACTACGCCCTCAGCGAAGCCTGCCAAGAAACAATATGGATTCGGCAACTACTCAACGACTTCGGTGAAAGGCAGGAACATCCGACCGTGGTTAAGGAGGACAACCAAGGTTGCCTCGCCTTTGTGAGAACAGAAAGAAGCAACAGACGCTCGAAGCATATCAACACTCGGGAGCATTTCGTGCAGGAGTTGTGCCTTAAAGGAGAGGTGGTGCTGGAATACTGCCCCACAGATCAAATGTTGGCAGACATCTTTACGAAGCCACTTGGACCACAGAAACATCAGACCTTTCGTGAGATGCTCGGGCTTGGCGTCGAGCAGTGAGGACATCGCATTGAGGGGGAGTGTGGAACGGGAGCACTGCTTGTTCCTCACCTGGTAAGCACACACCATGCACCCTACTACCGTGAGCGCACCTATCGAATATGCACATCTGGCATCCCGCCACTGAGTTTGACATCTATCCAGGGCCATCTTTAATCGCAAACGTGCTTTTCCGGCTATCAAGCAGCTAAATAAAGTTATGCTTTTAAATCGTATTTTCGCGTAATAAAACCGATTATTTCTTGTCCGAATCGACCATTCCAGCTTCCAATAGTCCATCTGAACTCTTGTCGTCAGTGTTAACCCCGATAATAAACGAATTCGCTATAACCTATGGGTTTAGCCCAACGAGCGAAAGTTGCCTGTTTAAGAAGAAGATTAACCGCAGCTTTCATACAATCAAGACTTCAATTGGGTTCTTTAATTTTTGAAAAAAATATCAGTTCGTGAAGTGCTTATTTCGCTTTAAATCTTGAATGCAAAATCGAGATGGAAGTAAATGAGATCGAAAAAAATATACATAACCCACTTCACTGGATTGACACAAAACCAGTATTGCCACATTTTGCCTCTGTATTTTGAGCTCCACCCGTATTTTTGATTTTTTAAATATATTTTCATTAATCTGTGATCTGGAATACAGATTCCGTTATTGGAAATGGTCTAAAATCTGTAGCATTACAGAAAGATCTGTATATGTGGCAACACAGCTCAGAACTAACAAATTGACAGCTAGCTCCCATGCAAAGCCTCACCGAGGGGCAACAAATTGGTGATTTTTGCTAATGTAATCACACTTATTTAAAATAGTTCCGGTGTACCAAAATTGATGT